TGGCAAGGCAGGCTAAATTAAGTACGAGAAACTTTACGTACACTTCTTTCCAAATGCCGCCATGGTTACCTTTGTTATACGTCAGCGTTATGACGCCCTCTATAAATCTGATTAATTAGGGCATTACAACGAGAGTTAGTTGCTTAAGAAATTTTCCAAACGTTATATTATCAGGTGTCTGTACAGGTAAAGGATTTACCCGACGGGAGGCGGAGGTACCCACTGGAACTGCGGGAGGGGGAGGGCGTCCAACATGAGCGTGGTCGGGCGTCGCTCAATATGTTTCAAAAGTAGTCCAGAAGCAAAAGCCTAGAAAATATGACGATTTGGCGGGTTTTCAACTTCTTACTTAATTGATTTAATAGATCGATAGAGATAGTACTTATACGGTATGTGAAAATATACACACAATAATTTTTCTCCCCGACAAACTTTGGTTTCTCTTCTTCCCGATGTGGGGGGTGGGGGTGCTCTCCGACGGGGTGCCTGCCCCGCAAGGGCCGCTCCCTATTGGTGCCACTCCTGCTGATTTATCCCCACGTCCACTTCCCCGGCAAGTTTTCCGCGAGGAGCACGCTCTATTCAACATATTGTACGGTACGCTTACAAAGGAACATCGACACACTGAGGATAAAAGCTTTCTTTAGTTCGTCGTGTCAGTCCCCGATGCAGACCTATCGCGTCAGCGTAAAACCCACACAGGCCCGACGCAATAACTAATACCGTCAGTCTGCGTCGTACGTCGTACGTCTGCAGTCTTCCTAATCGTTAGGAAAATTTTCTTCAGAAAATTTGTAAAGCCCATGTATTATTTTGCGTAATTATCTTTTTCTATGACAATAATTTCATACTAATATACGGATTTTTCGTCAACGATAATGATATAAATAATGTTGAAGTCTATTAATGTACAGATAGTAAATTTTAATGAATGTGGAAAGGAAATTATTAATTCTTATGACAGTTTGTGTATAATAAACAATTTCCATTTATGACTGTCTGATTTGTACTTCTTAGTCTTCCAAAATAATTTAAATTTGTGTCGCACAGAGCGATTCAATTTTAATTATGATTATAATTTATTAATTTTATTTTTAAATGTTGGTTATATAATATATAATGATTATATCCCACTATCGATGATGTGTCGGTTATATATTGGAATTTTTGTTCATTATCTTTTTTTCAAATTTTATAGTGTGGAAGGTTAGTCGGACAAAGCACTTATAGATGGAATAGACTAAAAAATGGAATTTTCAGATTGTCAAAATATTTCTAAAAGCAGTGTTCTTAGCGAAATATTTGTTTTATTATTAGAAAAATATTTTAGTAAATATTTTTTTTGTTCATTCAAGCATTTTCAGAAATAGATTTTAAAGCACAAATTTTAACTGCTTTTTTGTTAATTAATAATATACAGATAAGTGTAAAATTAATATTTAAGTGACAAGAAAAATTCAGTTGAAGCATTTATATATATTACTTTAAGTATGTTTCAAAATCACAGATATCAGATTTTTCTGAAGCTACAATTGTATTCTTAAATTATAGAGCGCCCTCTATCATGATCGTTTCATTAGGCCGTGTGGCTAACTTACCTAACTTGTATATTATTATTGTTTTAGTTCATTTTGATCTAAATTTTATTTACTTTACACATATACTAAATATAATTATGACTATTTTGGATTGTAAATATATTCGTTCATCAGTAATTGTTGTAATATTTCATAGAAGCGAACCTTTTCAAACGATGCATTATAACACTATTTTAACGTAATTAAACATTACTTGTGCTTTGCAATGTGTTAGAGACGAAATATATATATTATCTGATAATAAGAGTATAAACAACAATTAAAAAAAAAAAAAAGACCGCACTACGTATCCTGACTGTCGCTATTAATTACTGATGATGATCATAAATTGCATAGCGCCCCCTATCGAGTTTCACTTCAATATTCTGTAAGTTGCCTAACTTTTGACTCCTGTCTTTTGCTACAAAATGCAGAGTAGATTTAGACAGATTTTAAAACATAGGCAATAT